TTATTTAATAATTATGATTTTTTTTGCAAGAAAAACTTTCGATCTTATTCATCTACTGTCGTGGAATACAAAGAACTCTAGAAGTAATCGAAGTTACATCCATGTTCGTATCCCACCTAGCAACGACTATAATAGGCGAAGCGAGCGGAAGGTGTGACCCGGTCATCGCCACTCCCTCATTAGAGCCAGCCAAACCTTATTATACTAGATAGTTATGAAGCCAATGTGTTAAGGCCCCACGGTACTAGTGCACCAGAACAACAACTATAGCCGATGAAGAGAAGCGTAGATTGGAAGGATACAACCCGTAGACACATGAACTTTCACGAACGAAGACCATATCCAAGCAGATCCACCGAAGACAAACACCGACCATCCCCACAAGATCCACCAAAGACACACCTTGACACACCCTACGACGACGCTAGACGCTCCACCAGGACGAGGGATGGGTAGGCAAACCTTATTCCACCTTCAGAAGCCATTATCGCCTTATGTTCTTGACCACGACACAAACATTAACCAAACTCAAGAAAACACCTAAAAACGGAGTAGGATCCCTCCCATCGGAAATCGCTCGGGTCCATCATGCCTCCATAACCCTAAAGCCACAAGAGACGAGGCAGACAGGCGGCTGCGGTGACAGGAGGAAGAAAACCGCCATCGCCTGCGAGTTTGCCATTATTGGGGAAGTGGAAACATCATACGGCTAGTACAATCAACGTATATGCTTGTTGTAGGGTGACCCTACCCACTTTTCGTTCGAATATCGCCTTGTTTTGTGCCTTGTCCCTGAGCGATTAGGGGATACAAAATTGAGTAAATTTACTATAACTTTACTGCTTTATTCCAAAACAAAGGAAACATCCACCTAGCTGCCACGAGTACATGTAGACAAAACCAACCGCCTCCCCCCCCCCTCCCCCGCCCCAATGCAATTCACAACACCGATTTAGTAGGACGCTCCCTTTTGAAGGGGCTTAGTATTTTAGAAGATTGTAAGGAT